ATACTTCTCTTATAATATGACTTATCATGGCATTGTTGTTCTTGAGAAGATTTTTAAAGACATTTTCTACATATTCCTATGTAAAACTTCGATCCCCTCTTGTGGCCTCGCCTTACCCCCGGGGAGTTATGATATGAACAAACTTGAATTAAGTGTATGTCATATGAAGCTTTCACTAAGTTTTATCTTTTCTCGTCCAGTGGTTCTTGAGAAGAAGATTTTTAAAAGATGACACCAAATATTCTCGAATTCTTTATTATCTTCCCTTGAAAGAGGACATGACACTTCCTGTGAACAAACGTAAATTCCATTCACCCAAGGATGCTTTGTGGCAAGTTTGGTTAAAATTGCTCCAGTGCTTCTTGAGAAGAAGTCGAAAATATGAAAAGTTTACAGTCGACAGACGGACGCCGGACACTCTTTGATAAAAAAGGCTCACTTGAGCCTTTGACTCAGGTGAGCAAAAATGGCATTTTAGATTCATTCATTATAAATCTTGAGGACAAGATTTTTGTAAATGGTGGGGCTTTTTATCATGACAAAAATTGCATAAAAATAGATATATGACAGAAGCAATTGTTTTGAGGGGAAAGGTAGCACATGCAGTAATGTTTACTCAATCAAAATAGAAATGGATGCTGGGTACAAGTGGTTGAACTTTTTCACCTGTGAGGTTCTGTGAGGGTATTTGTTTGCATCAATGTGTTGTAACTTGATTATAGCAAGATCTTTTTGGTCAGGGTAAAGGGACAACCAATCGTACGTTACTGGCGAAAAGTTAGTTGATTGTATATATTTTCAACAGGGTGTAAAAACTAAATATTGTGCAAAAAGTTTAATATAAATTTTTAAGTGCAGTTAAAAAGTAAAAAGGATTAAATGGGACATTAATGTAAGTTAAAATTCAAGTAACAATTTGCGTTGACTAAAGATGCCTCGCCTAAATGACGAGTTGTGTTTTTTCAGTTGCATTTATACAGAATGGGTAAAAACGGTCATTCCCCATAACCAGTAGCCAGAGAGGGAGAGATGAGTTGTCAGATCAAAAGGCCATCAAAATAATAATAAAAAAAAAGAATACTGATAAATATTCCTGAATATTCATTAGTATTTATATAGGCTTACAGAGAATAGTACGAGTTGTTCAATTTGGTGTGTGACTCTCACTTGAATAGCAAAGGCCGCGGGTGTGGTTTAGTAAATAAATAATTCATACTCTGCCCAATACCACTGTGAACTCTTCCAGACTCAAATACAACGGTTTAGAGGGTACAGGGGCTGGAGTTCAGAATGGTGTTGATCCGATTATGATAAAAGGTCTACATTTTAAGCCCTTCATTGGTATATGGTGGCGTCTCTATATAAGTGAAAAATTCTCGAATGAGACCTAAAACAACATATAATCAATCAGTCAATCAATCAATCAATTTAATGACATATTGGGTTAATGTGGTTTATAACATTTCAACTATCTATTTCTATCATGTATTAAGGTTTTGCCAAAGGTCAACATGTCCAAAAATTTATTTTTACTATAGCTCCAAAACTATGTGGTTTTTAAAGTTAAAACTTTTACAGTTTATAAATATATCATTGATTAACAGATAGAAAGTATCACTTGAAAACAAATACTTAAAAAGAATATTTATTGAGAAAAATTCTTTTAAAAAAATGCATATATTTTTTAAAAATACACCTAATTAATTCCGTACTTTTAGTGAAAGCCACTATTGCAGAAACAATAGATGTTTATCAATGAAGGGCAGGTTGGACTTCGATAGCCTCTGGAAAGTTGTTTTCCCTGTTTATTTTGTCCAAATGTTAAGATTTGAAACCGAAAGTACATTGCAAATGGCTGATTTTATAAGGGTCTTGTCTTTATACATTTCATGCTTTCAATAACAGCCTTTCAGAGACCATTCATGTCCAACTTACCCTTCATTGATAAACATATAGTATTTCGGCAATGATGGTTTTCACTAAAAGTACAGAATTAAGCAGGTGCATTTTTTTTTTAAATATGCAAATTTTTTGATTTTTTTTCCTCAAAAAATATATTTTTTTAAATATTTGTTTTCAAATGATACTTTCCATCTGTTAATCAATGATATATTTATAAACTGTAAAAGTTTTAACTTTATACCTCACATAGTTTTGGAGCTATAAAAAACATAAATTTTTGGACATCTTGACCTTTGGCAAAACCTTAAATCAAGTACAGGTAAGAGTGATGGGTAGTCAAGGCTATTTTTATACTACATTTGTATTTATACTTTTTAAAAGCCCATGAAAAGAAGATCTACATTGTAAATATGCAGATAAAGAAAATTACATTAATTATTATAGCTAGAATATGTCTTTTTTAAGTACTAAATTATAATTGGTTAGAAAAATCATGATATTTAATATTTTTAGGTGAATGTTTTGGGTAAATGTTTGAACAACCTGTTCCCTTGAATTGCATCTTATCCATCCACTGTTAAAGTTTTCCAAAATGATACTAATACAGCTTGTGTAATGCAAAGGGAGGAACCGTGGCCAATGTGTGTCTCTCCCCTGATCAAATATATTTCGAAAATGGTCATTACTCGGTAACCTAAATAAGAAGTGTTGATTTTAATTGGACTAAAATGTTGTTGGAACTGGGACATAAACAGATGAAAACACCTATGCTATATATGTGCAGAATTAATACATATGTATCTACTCCACTGCTATTATGATATCAAGGAGAAACGAATGTCATTACGGGATAAAGAAACAATTTGCGGCATATTTAATGTCTGGTGCAATTGTATATTCGCCTATGGAAATTATTTGTTTAAATGATCATCCCGAGTTTGTTGAAAAAGGCGGATATGGTGATGATAAAAAAAATTCCTTCACCCAATAAAAGTTGTCTGTGTTTCGCTCGAGCGAGAGCACCTTTTGTTAATGGGAATTTATTAACTTGTGTTGTTTGCAAGAATTAATGAATAATATTGAAATTCTATACACATCACATATATTTTTTAATTCATAATCTCAATTAAAAATGTTCAATAAGGCACAGTACTAGTAGACTTTTAAGAAGTAATCAAAAATTTTAATTAAGAATTTTCTAAGAACATTACTAAGATATATTAGATCCATTATATTATATGTGAACCATCCAGGCAAATGGTGAGCCTTGGGACATTGAAATGAAGCTGTATTTACGTAATATGACCAGTTTCATGAATCTTTTTTTTTTTTTCAAAGAATGAAATACATGTTAGCTTTTAACTTATTTTAACCATTATAGATATCGATTACATTAGAAAAGCGTTCAGTCTGAGTAGTGTTCATTTTATTTTCTTAACAAAAGTCAATTTTTTTTCTATAGAAATATGAACTAGATAAAAGACCAAGAATCTCTTTGAAGTCTACATGTGAGGTCTTCATTCAGGTTTTTTAATTACAAACAGATATTTTCTCTTTTTTATGTTGACAAATATCGACTGGAACAAAAGATATTCTTTGCCATAAAATGTCTGGTTCTAAAATGAATGGGATAAGCAATAAAGGTATGATCTATTATTTAATTGATCCTAGTTTTATTTCTTGAAGTGAAAGCTAGATTGATGTCAGAGTATCAAATTGAAGGACTTTCTAACGGTAAACAATTAAAGGAAAAGAAAAAATAATCAAAAAGTAGTTTTCTAAATAAAGAAAAGTCCTGGTAAAAAATGTACATTTTCTATACTGTTTTACTTCTATGATGAGGAAGTATAGATCGCCCCTGTACAATCAAGTACATACTAATTTTCATCTACGAAAGACATACATGTTTATACTTTAATTTAAGAATATCTTTTTTTTTTTAAATGTTTAAGTATTTGTTACCTTTATATTTAAAACAGATGTTTGTATAACTCAGAGGAAATACTAGTGTTTGACTTTATAACTTATTCTCCACGAAGAAAAATATAGACATATTAACGTTAATATTATTGAAAGTCGGATACCTGAAATGAGTTTATTCATGTATACGATATGCATCCCAGTATTTAAGTTAATTGAATGGAATGTGGTTGACATAAAGGGCCATGAAGGATGGAATGCTGTCAATTTGGCCAGACAGAAGTATAAGATACGCTGTGACTGTATGAAATACATACAGCATAAAATTTCATCGCAGGATATGTTGCTTTTCAATGAAAAGGCATTATATGAGAAAAATGATTACATGAAAACGTTATTAATCTCTGTGTAACACTAACATTTTTAATATGGGACATGTTGTTTCGTTGTTTGATTTACATTGAAATAAAGTAATCCTTCTCGGTATAAAATACAGATATTGATCACCCGAAAAAAAAATCATAACGATAGTAGCAAGATAGTTCTAGGGATTGTCCATTTCTCTAGAACGTGTATAGGCAATATATTTTACTTGAAAGAATGAGAAATGTTAAATCATTTTTTTACTAGACAAGTTAACATATTTAGGAAACAACCTTGCTTTTTCATAAAATCTTTAAAATTGTTTTTGTGGTTCTGCCTTTGTTGAAAAAAAAAATTATTCAAGGTACAGAGCATATGTTTAATCCTGCATAAAAATTGTCATTTGAGTTCAAGGTTTGGAACTTTCCACTTTAAGATAATTTCAGAATTCAATCTAATTTCTTCCAAGTATTAAATATGACTTTGATTGCACGTTTCCTTTTTGACCCAATTCCTACTGAGCCAATTGCGCCTCTGTTACGTTTATTAATTAAAAGCGACATTTATAATAAAAGTACTTTTCTCAGGAATCTGTATACATTTCAGAAACAATACTACAGAAACTGCAGAGAAATATTTGGTCACACACATACATATGTACTTTTAGTTACTTTTTCAGCATATCAATGTTTCCAGTGATTTATTGAGCATTAATTGCATTCTTATGTTGAGAGATTGTCTAAAGCTTCATATATATATCGTCAAAAATACAATTACAAAACAATTTGCTTTCATTTCATGATATATCTACAGCTATGAAGATTTTGTTGATTGCTAGCTTTGTTTGGTTATATGGGATCATTGGTATAATTCCTGATTTAGCAGACAGTGCTTCCCTGGAAAAATCGGAGTCGTCTCCTGGTACTGGAAAAGTGTCCGGTGTTTTCCAGGATGTTCCCAATCGAGACAGTTCGGTACGGTTGTCTATGGTTCTGAAAATTCAAAATTTGGCAATGGATGCCAAAGATGATAGGAATAACACTCAAATTGAACGGAAGATGCCTAGGAACGTAACAAAAGAAATGAGGAATGTGAAAAAATGGCAACGGAGGATAGAAGATGAAATCTCAAATTTTGAAAAAGAATTAAGATCTGAATTTACTAAGAACTTTGAAGAAAATTTTAAGAGTTTTTCAATATATGTTAATGAAACATTGGAGAGTATTCTTGAAGATCTACATAATTCCAAAACTCAACTGCTTGATATTTCTTCACGACTCCAAAAGGTAATTGTTTCTTTTTGCTATTGCACTGTAACTTGAACTTTCAAGTTTCTTTTTCTAAAACATCGATGAAAAATACATTCAAATTACTGAATTATTTGAAAAGTTTTAGCGATGAGTTGAAAGAACAACTCCAATTATAATTTCATTCTATTTTGATTTTTTTTTTCAAAATTATATTGATGTCTCATTGCTGGGAACATTAAATTTGCATAAAGCTAACCATGTATCATAATTACATGAAAATTTCCTTTAAACTGGAAATTAACTTTTTTCCTAAAAGCAACTAGACAGGAAGTCATAAAAATAAATAATAATAATAATAATAAGCTGATATTCTTTTTACGAAAAAATACTTTTATTGTAAATATATTCCAGATAAATTCTTATTAGAATGAACGAGAAATAGTTCGATCAGTAAAGGACTATGTATAGAGACAATTCCTTAATTTGGTTGTAGTTCTGGTCTTATTTCAATCTAAAATGATTTTTCAATTTTTTATTTAATAAAAAAATATCAAAAAGCTCGATGCATTTACTTCATCATGCAGTCGGTAATCTGAGATCCATGTATATAATGTTTGATAAGCTGTTGAATATTTTTTCCTTCTTGTCATACATATAATTGTTATTAATTGTTCCTTTTGTTTAAAGTCGTCCCACAAGACTGCATGGAACTCTTGCAAAGCAATCCCGATTTAAAAGGGAAAAATGGAAAATACGAAATATACCTGGACGGGGATAAGAAATCCGTGTACTGTGACATGAGTACTGACGGGGGAGGGTGGACGGTAAGTACGCGTATATAGGTATATATGTCCATTTAGAAGAAAAAGATAACATCGGCTAAAATATTAGTAACTTCAGAATCTGCTTGGGGATATAGATGAAAATTTTCATATAAAATCATTAATAATTCCTTAAAATGCAAAACATTACCTGCATAATGTTTTACTTATTTATTTGCTTTTCGGGGTATTTGTTTTATTTGAGTATTATTCTTGCACTGATAACATTTTTTTTTTTTGTTTGCTTTTTTTTTTTTGCTTATCTTGTACAAAATCTTTTTTAAAAACAGGTCATACAAAAACGAGTTGACGGGTTAACAGATTTTTTTCGTACCTGGGAAGAATATAAAACTGGATTTGGTGATCCTTCTAAAAGCTACTGGATAGGTATAACTTTTCACATCATTATCTTTCTTACATGTAAATAACCAGTGCGTCTCTTTTTGTGTTTTGCTTTATGCTAATTTTACAGGAAATTCAGTGAGCATAAATGCCGTATTTGTATTAAAAAATAGTTTGATGTTCTGTAGTTAACTCTTCATTACAACTGAAGACTAATTTATCTGTTGGTCATTTTTGTGAACAATAGTGTTTCTTTAGACTTTAACCTTACTTTAAAACTAATTCCTTGCTTGTTTGTGAATTATAATTTTAAATGAAATTTTCAGGACTAAAAGCGAATCTTTCCCCAAAATAATGTAACATATCAAGTTTCCCAGGAGAAGCTCAGTGCCACCTAGTGTAATATGTCGAGCATCAATAGAACCTTCCTAATGACATACCATGTTACATGTAAAGCACCAACAAATTATGTTATTGACACGATGAAATATGGAGGTAACGAACAGTAATCAGGCTCAAAAGTCCATTGAAACAATACAAATTGAGAGCAAAGCAAACAGGGGCCTCTAAAAATATCAGAGGTGGGATTAGGTGCCATGAAGGAGTAAGCATCCCCTGTCGACCTGTCACATCCGCCGTGTGCTAGTTGTCATGGTCGGAAAAATGGAACAGTCCGTAGACAATTCTGTGTGTAAATAATGGCCTAACAATTACTATGAAAAACGTCAGCCAGCATATCACTTAATGATAGATTGTATTTGCTGACAAGGTCATTGTATCAACCAATATAGAACTTTCGAAATGATGACTATAAACGAGACTGTTGATATCCATGTTTCATTAACTTAACTTATTTTTCAATAGGTTGTCTCTTTTTAGAAATTATTCGTACGTGAAACATGCTTTTGCGTATCGAATCAACCGGGATATATAAACCTAATATGCAAGTGATAAGGGTATATTGCTATATAAGTAAGGGAAGTTGACAATAGAAAAATTGAAGTCATCACGGTTATGAAAAAGTTTTGTTAGGTTATGTCTTTTTCATGTAAAACATCCAAATATGAAACAGATGTGTCAGACTCTGTGACATCTTTTATTTCAAGTTCACTGGGATGTATCGAGTCGACATATGAATGGCAGTAACTATTGTTAATTGATATATCTAAATGTCGAGCTGAAGGCCACAGCAAATGTTTTCTTCTCATGAATGATTTTTTAAATAGATTCTGCTTCATAGGACATCAAAAATAAGTCTGCTACTAACAGGGCGCAATTGGTATCCATGAGAATTTTGACAGATTATTGGAAGACCTGATCTCCAAAAACTACAAAGATATTATCAATTAGAAACTCAAGCATATTTTTAATAAATACTTTAGAGTACTAGTGTGTGCAATCAGAATGCTTTTTGACAAATCAATTTTGCAAATGACCAATGACAAAGTAAGTATATTTACGAAGTTCATTTTCTATTGAAAAAGCAGCTGTCTGTGATGTCAAAATCCCTGAACTTTAATTTATCATGGGGAATGGTTGTATAAAGTGTAAAAAAAAAAAAAAAAAATTGGTACGCTTTGGTGTTAACGATTTTGGTAAAATTGTGCAATTTGTAACAACCTGTTACATATGTAATTTTTCGTTCAATTTACAATCAAGTCATTCAGAAAAAAATGTTTGTTGATTGCACACATAACTTCATATCATAATCTGTTGAACACGAAGTAGCCAGAAACTCCCTTACTAGTATTACTTTGAATACCAATAAATGATACTAATTAATCAGAGAAAATGTTTTTCTTCAGCATATGTATATCTGTAATGAACAAGTCCCCCATTCCCTCTCTTCAATTTTGACCTTGTTGAGAATATTAGGAAAGATAAAATGAAAACCTAATTCTTTCGTTAAGAGAAAAGGCTTCTAGTTGGATTTGAATTATTATACACACAGCTATAGAAAACAGCAAGTGTCACCTTTCTTCTAGTACCTCAGATGTTTGTACATTTCCATCTATTGGTTTTCTGTGACTACTGAAGAAAATGTATGTTTTTGTTTCTGTATGGATAAAAATTATATATATTTTTTAATTTGTTGAAATGTGGATTTTATGTGTAAGGACGTTGTGTTTTCCTAAATCTTGCCAATTACGATGTATATGTCAGGTCCCTTTCAGTAAAATCGGTAGACAAAAATGTTGTCTAATCAGAAATGTGGCCTTCTTTTTGAAATCAGTGGTCACCAGTTTAGACAAGTCCAACTGCATCAACATAGGAGAATATTTAAAAAAAAATGTCTTACTTCAAGGTAACGAGGCCATACACTTACTCACAAAGGAAGGCAGGAATGAACTCCGTGTTGGTATTGAGAGATATAACGGTGAAAAAAACCTTTGCTAGATATTCTAGTTTCTCAGTAGGGGACGAGCAGAGCAAATACAAACTCAGTGTATCAGGTTATAATGGAACTGCAGGTAAGTTTACATTTGTTAGATTTTTCATATACCCTTGTATGTCTTCAATTTTGAGTTATTCATATTTTTAAAAACAAATTCTCCGTATCCATGTTTACTAACAAGTGTTTGGTATTTTTTTATTTATTTATCTATTTATTTATTTATTTTTTTTTTTGAAAATAAGATCTCTCTCCTATTTTTTTTATTTAAGGGAATGGACTAACTTATCATAGCGGAGCAAATTTTACAACAAAAGATCAGGATAACGATGAAAGAGAGTATGAAAATAGTGCTGAAATACTTCAAGGCGGTTGATGGTACCAGACAGGATACGTTTCCCACCTGAATGGGGTGTATGCTGATAGTGCCACAAAAGATCTTAAGAACATTCAATGGAGTCAGCTCGATTCCTTGAAAAGTACTTCAATGATGATCAGACCTTTGCTTTAAAGACTAAATGTCAAGGATATAACGTGCGTTTTGTTCTATGCAACATGAAAATATGTACAATGTTTTCTTAATATGTTCATTCTTGCTTTCATGCCAATATTTTCTTGTAATGAAAAAAATGCAGTAAAATAATATTCTTTAAAGATTAATTGTTCATATTGTTTAGAATTCTTAATTAATAACAATATTAACTAGTGTTCTGTAGCGATTAAAAAAAAATAATAGCATCTATTTAATTATCAAAAATAAATGCATTTATTTTATGAGAAAAGAAGTCGGGTTTGATGAATGATGTACAGAGATTCCATAATTAACATCGGGTTCGGGCTCCCTTTTAAATCTGGTTGCTGAATGGTGAACAGACGCAGATCTATCAAGAGCATAAATTGGTAAAAATACAAGTAATCGACTGGTAAAAAATTGTTATTGTAACTGATATTGCAACTTTAATAACATTTCATACAAGTTTATCATCTATTGAAAATAATTTTGATATTTAAATGAACTATGGTCTTGGATTGTCGTCTGCTGCATAAGCACATGCATATGGTAGCGTGATAAAATAGGTGCCTCAGGAATTATATAAAATTGACTGATTTTGTAATCTTTTATCAAGAATATCACGGAAGTTATGATTAATTTTATTTCTGGAAATATTTAGTTATTGAAATGTATGAAATTGGGTGACGCAATCCATATCCGAGAAATATGGATATATTCTGTTTAAATTTGTGATAAATTGGTAAGTTTTTATGTTGCATGAGAAATGCCAAAAAGAAAACGCAATACAACAGTGAGGGTTGGTGCTACTGAAGGGAATCCAAGGTCAGTAAACCCCCCTCCTGAGTCTAGTGGAACAGGAAGGACGGCAGGTGAAGATGCATTAATCACTGCACAGACTTCGACAAGAGGCACTTCAAAGAGAAAGCGCACAGCTAGTAAGGAAAAGCCCAGAGATCTGCCCCAGGCTGAACCACAAAGTACAGCAACAAAAAGTCTGCAGGATGGCCTAACTAGTGCCGCAGAGACATCAGGTAGTCTGAGTGACAATGTGGTGCTTGATTATGAAGCACCGTACATGGTTGAGTCTGTCAACAATTTGTTGTCGTCCAATGTTTCTCAGAACATCAAAGATAAAATTGTCAATTCTAAATATGTTGATATAAGTTTATTATTGGACAATACATCTATTACTGAAGCATCTGAGAAGAAAATTTACTTCAATGAAAAAGGAGAGCTTGTTACCAAAGAAAGTTCAAAAGCTAACATTAATATTAATACAATTGAGAAGTGGTCTGATGCTTTTTTGATTTATAGTAGCATTTATGCCTCAGCCCATCAAGATGAAGTGCAGGGTCTGTTTAAATACATGCACGACATTAGGTTAGGGGCTGCAAGAGGGATGGGTATGGGATGGAAAAAGTATGATGAACAGTTCAGATTAAGACGAAGTGTTAACCCATCAATTTCCTGGGCAGCTATAGATCCTGAACTTTGGCTTATGTTCATGCATGCCCCATCGCCACAGGCCATCTCAACCCAATCCTCACCTGGGCAAATATTGCACAACAAATGTTTTAACTTCAACTACAGGGGCTTCTGTAACAAACAGGGATGTGGGTATCTGCATGTGTGCATTAAATGTAACAATGGTCACCCCATCTCCGCATGTCCTTTGAAACAAGTAAATATAGCTCAATTTCAATCGCTAAAAGGGGAATCGTATCCGGGTTACAACCAGCATAGTGGTCACTTTCCTTCCCCTGGAATACCCAGATTTCAACCCCCCTTTCGAGCCCCAGGTGCCAGTAGTAGTACAAGACCCCAACAATATAGACCACAGAAAAATATGGGACGTAGGAAAAACACCATTAAAGTGGATCAATTATTGAAATATTTAAACGATTATCCAGATCAAAATACAGCCCAATTTTTAAAGGATGGATTTTTAAATGGTTTTAAACTCCAGTACTCGGGGCCAAGGGTTCATGTGTCTTCTAAAAACTTGCTATCAGCGCAGCATCACCACGTCGAGTTGATGGAAAAAATACAAAAAGAAATAGGATTAGGTCGGGTATTAGGACCATTTAGTCAACTTCCTATATCAAATCTTCATTTGTCACCAGTTGGTATTATTCCAAAATCTGATGGGTGTTGGAGAATGATTACTCATTTGTCATACCCAGAATCAAATAGTATAAATGATTTCATTGCTCCAGAGCTATGTACAGTAAATTATTCGTCATTTGACAAGGTGGTAGACATGATTTGTGGGTTATGGAAAGGGGGTCTTTTAGCGAAAGTTTATGTTAAGAGTGCTTTTAGATTAATACCAATATATCCAGGTGATTTTGATTTGTTAGGGTTCTCGGTAGATGGGCTTTATTACATAGACAAATGTTTACCAATGGGCTGTGCAATAAGTTGTAAGATATGGTAGACATTTGCAACATTCCTTCATTGGTTAACAAAATTTCAAACTGGTTTAGAGACTTTAGATCACTACTTAGATGACTTTATTTTTGCTGGAAAAGGGGGAACGTCAGAGTGTATTCGGCTTATGTAAAATTTTAAAAGTATTACGACTGACATTGGTGTCCCATTAGCTGAGGATAAAACTGCAGGCCATACTACAAGAATTACATATTTAGGATTAAAAATTGACACTATTGAAATGGTTATAAGAATACCACAACCCAAAGTTATCATGTTGACAGATATGGTTAAAGACATGTTAGGAAAAAAGAAGGTTACCCTTCGAGATTTACAGTCTTTAGTAGGGATGCTTAATTTTTTTGGTAGGGCAATTATGTCAAGCAGGGCATTTAATAAGAGATTTTATGATGCAATGAGTGGTGCGTCTAAACATCATCACTTTATTAGAACTTCAACAGGCATGAAAAGCGACTTGGAGATGTGGTTAAAGTTCTTACAAAATTTTAATGGTGTATCATATTTTCCCGAGTCTGAGTGGACAAATTCCAATGTCTTAGAATTTTTTACTGATAGTGCAGGTGCTAATAATTTGGGATGTGGTGCATACTTTAAATGTAATTGGACTTTTCTAGCATGGCCTGAGCAATGGAAAGATCAAGATATAATGAGAGATATAACTTTTTTAGAATTAGTGCCTGTTGTATTATCAATAGAAATATGGGGAAATTGCCTTCAAAACAAGAAAGTTTTGTTTCATATTGATAACATTGCACTGGTTAGTGTTATTAATAAGCAAACCTCAAAATCAAAAAGGACAATGGATTTAGTAAGATATTTTGTTTTAAAATTAATGAATTACAAAGTTATTTTTAAAGCTAATTATATACCAGGTATTTTCAATAGTATAGCAGATGCAATTTCTCGTAAACAGTGGAGGCATTTCAGGGACCTGGCACCGAGTGCAAAAGAGACACCACAAAGTATACCAGAAGAATTTGTGAGAATGATCTACAGCTTGAAGTAGAAAAATTACTGGAGGCATCTTTGTCCACAAATACAAAATTGTCGTACAGTACTGGATTAGAATCATTTCAAAAATTTCGTCACTCTTTTGATTATGAACAAATCTGGCCTCCACCATTAAATCATATAGTGCAGTTTGTGGCATTCTTGTCATGTTCAGGCTATTCATATTCAACAGCTAGGTCATATGTTGCTGCCATCAGTTTTCAGTGTAAGTTAAAGAATCTTCAGGATGAAACAAAAAAATTTATTGTAATAAAGCTATTGGGAGGTATGAAAAGGATTAAGAGCCCTCGAGACACAAGATTACCCATTACACCCACATTATTATCAAAAATTGTGCAAGTTGTGCCCACAGTATGTTATAATACTTATGAATCAAACCTTTTTAATGCTGCATTTACATTAGCCTTTTTTGGTTTTCTACGGGTGGAAGAATTTGCTTTGTCAACAGGAAATGATGTACATAGCATTGTTCAGATTTCTGATATCAAAATTGAACCTGACCAGAGGACATTACTCTTGAATATTCATCGATCAAAGTCTGATCAACTTGGAAAAGGTGTTACACTAAGAATTCAAAGGGTGAGCAACAATATATGTCCTGTGGGATGCATGTCTAAATATTTGGCTGTTAGACCCAAAATCAAAGGGCCACTGTTTTGCCATTTTGGGGGAAAGCCTATCACTAGATATCAGTTTACTGCAATTCTGGAAAAAGCTTTAAAAGTTATAGGGGTTGGGGGGAAATTTAAAGCACATTCCTTTAGAATAGGGGCAGCCACTGCTGCATATGAATTGGGTTGTTCTTCAGAGATAATAAGGGAGGCAGGCAGATGGAAGTCTCAAGTGTATAAGTCTTACATTCGATGTCCGCTTGTTAAACTCTTCTAAAGGTTTATCAGTGTGCAAGTCATGAAAAACATTTCATGGGTGTAAATTCAATTTGTTAAAGAATAAGTCTGATATGCAATGGATTATTTGTTAATGGCATATTGAGATAGGAAATACAAGGGGTTAATCCTCTAACATATAAATCGACACTATTTTAGCTCCACTAAGTATTACAGAAAGATATCAAGTTTGGTGTGTAGGCTCTTCAATAATACGGAGGGCATTTGTGTCAGCACGTAACCGACCAGGAGGCTTGAATCTAGGGCTGGAAAGAATAGGACTGAGAATATGGTGGCAATGATACTCTGGACTAAAGATTACTGACTTAAAAATGAAATTGTTTTGTTTGAAGCGAATAGAAATGCCACCACACACTACTGGCTTTCAAAACCCCTGTCCGTATGAAAATCCCCTGTCTTTCTCTGTAACCTACAGCATTTCCACAATTATCTACGGTATATCTACAGTATGGTACGGTATGTCTCCTCTGCATATACAGTAATTCTCAGTAT